ATAACAATAATAAAACAAGACTTGTAGGTCAAGCATTGGTCACTAATGAAACACTAGACACATATATGTGGATTCTAAAATGTGTTGATAAAACCACACACAAGCAACCTATCGTGATATTTACAGATGCAAACCCTGCTTTAAACGCTGCCATTTCAGCTACTTTTCCAACTACACATATAGCTTATTACATCTTCTATATTGGGCAAAATCTTCCCAAAAATTTAAAGTCAAAACTGGGAAATAAATGGGATGAATTTATAAAGAAATTCTATGAATGTAGAAACAGCTTATGTGTGACTTTGTTTGAAAAACAGTAGAAAAACTTACTTAAAAATTATCCAGTAGCAAACGATTATTTGCTCAGAGCTCTTTATCCAAACCATCGATCCTGGGTATGTGCCTATTTGTATAGAGTTTTTACTGCCGGCATTCAGAGCACCTCTCACGTAGAAGGTTATAATTGGATTATTAAAAAAGAATTAGTGACAAATAGCACATTATATGAACTCACCAATCGTTTAGATCAACGGTTAAAAGATAAAACACAATGAAAAAATTTTCATGAATACAAATTATTAACAACAATAGCAATGACACCTACAGCTGGACAAGTTCTATTTCCTGCAGCAGTTAAAGTACTTGATGAATATTTAACCGAGGCGATCAGCAACATGATTAAAGTGGAAATGGGCCAGTGTCTTTTTTTTTGTGCGAAAATGATTGAACCTACAAATGAAGATTTGATTAAGAAACAGGTAATATAGAAGAGATTAATAAACTTATGTGTTTTAAACGATAAAATTAACAACAATAAATATGAAATAGGAAACTGTTGAACAAATTCAGGATGGATTTATTGAAGATCAATACGATGCAAGAAATATAACACTCCAAGCTATAATTGATGAGATTGGAAGTAATGATATAAAGGAAATTTGGAAAGTTATGGATCTGCGTAGTGAAAAAAAACATCACGTCCATTTTGTTGCAGTTGTTAATCTGATTTCCTTTTTATGTTCATGCCTAATGAGTATCATCAAAGGTATTATTTGTTGTCATTATTTTCATGTAATGATACATTCGAGCATATCAGCTTTTCATATATCAATGATACCTACTTGATGGTATAAAGATTCATATCAAAATAATGTAACATCAGTAGAAAGAGATAATATAATAGCATTTGATTACGAAAAAAGTATCGTTGACTCAGACCTGAGTAGAATTCCAGCATGAAAACCAGTTACTATGCCGATTACTGCTTCAATTACTAAAAATGACATTAACAAAAAAAATCGTTACAGACATATTTGGGGACTTGCACGAAAAGCTATTTTGCTTGTAGTAGATAATGATAATAATGAAATAATTCAGATTCTAAAGGGCTATATTGATAGAAAAAAGAGAGTAAATGCCAAACGTTCTGTAGATCAACAAACTACCATGACTAATCAGGAACAAGAAAGCATAACCAATCAATTTTCATCTAACGATATAATCGATGATCAAGACACTTGTGAATCAGAAGATGAATACATATCTGAAGAATCAGTTACTTCTGTTTTGAAGCCTGCATTAAGTTTTGCCAATGTCCAAAACCCTCCTAAGGTTGTTGGTAGAGGAAGACCAAAGAAACAAAGATATATTAGTAGTGTTGAAAAGGAACAAAAA